ACTTTATAACAAGGGCTACGTTTTAGTACTACACGCTTATAGAATTTTTCTTTCCATCAAAAACATAATTAAATGGAAAATGATGTTCAGATATAAGGAAAAACGGAAGAGGCCCTACAGAACTACTATTTTTTTTTCTCCCGCATACGTACGCCCATTTTATTTCCAAATAACCTAGGCACTTGTAAAGAGTGGTTCGTCCATTAACTACGACTCTCCTATCTGTTGTTGTATAGCAGCATAGCGATATGTTCTATTGGGTGTGTACGAGTGGTACCTTTAGCTACACTATAGACGAATGCTGCTCTTAATTGAGCGAGTTTTGTTGATTTACTATTTTTGTATTTGGGAATATATGCCCCGATAGATATTACTATATGGTTTCCTATAACATCGTTATATTTGTGCTTTATCTACTTAATCGACTTTTACAATATAGTGAAGACTAAGAGGAGCCGTGATATAATTGTGATATTAATCTGTCACCACCACTGTTAATCTGTAAAAACTGGAAAAATTTCAAAAACAACAAATAAATAGACAGACCCTGAGATAAACGCTAATTTACATGTAACATCACAAAATTTGGACACCAAAACTAATGAAATTTAAGGGTTAGTGTTTAAAAGGAACTCCTAAATCCAATTCAATAGTAGGTATATTAAAAATATAAAATTATACTGACGAATTAATACGCTCGTATTTTTAGCTAAGGTTAACAGAAAATTATCTTTTTTATTTGCTTGGAATTTTATCAAAACTCCTCACCCTCGCCTCATTCATTTCATCAAACAAAGTTAGGAGAAGTCAAGATAAATAAAACAAATCTTTCAAGAATTTCGTACCTATTTATCTTTCGAAATACGAAACCGGTAGTGTAATTAAATTTTGTCAAGTTTAATAGAGCATGAGTCGGCTATATAATTTTTTATTGCTTAAATTATCAAACAATGGCTACGTGAAATATTGACAATAGAGTAATTGCTTAAGCCTGTCTTTTTCTACGTAATTCCAATTATTTTAGACTTCAGAAAGTTATGAAATAGGTACATCGTATATTGGTGAAATAAAAAATGTTATTGAAATGCCTTTATGCGACTGTACACAACGAATAGGTACCAAATCGAGGTAACCACCCCACGTAGTTCAATAGTTTGAACCGTTTTATTTGTTGCCGGGTATTTCCTGATCCCCATTCACATGAATCAAACCGAACGAACTCATTTATTTGATACCAACCGACAAGATACACCCGTATCTACTACGTATATGTACAGGCTGGACAAACTACAGACAGGGATGATAAAATGCACTGCCGCTGACTAAATAAATATAAAGAGTAAAATTTCGTTTCTACACTATCTAAAATACTAAATGAATAATTAATTATAAATATTATTTTTAGTAATACATTTAAATTACATAGAAACAAGCTTTCGAAATACCTTCTCTGTTATTGACAAGCAATAAAATACAACTCGAGTTCTAAAATAAAAGTAAACATAATATAATTAAATCTTGAAGATATTGTGGTTGTGTGTACCTCCTTTATATAAGGAAGCTTGTGAGCACATTATAAAAAGAATCATCCAAAGTCTATCTAAGTTTAGGGTAGTCTTGTACAAAAATTGAAGGCACAAAATGTACGGTATACACGTCTTATATTAATATACTCATATATATATATATATATTAATTCATTGCGCTACTCATATATGTTAAAATAATTTAGGGAGTTATTAATAAAGTTTTGCTGGCCACTAGAGAATGAATAAAGAGGACCATTAAAGTAAAATTGTAGATAGAACACAACAACATTAATTTAATTAAAATTTTAGCTCCAAATACTACAAAATTAAGTTAGATACAAATTGGGGTGACGCGTTGACGAGACCGTCTGCGAGGAAGACCGTTATAGCTATTTTCTTAATTTACTATTTAAATGACCGGTTTGATAAAAGCTTTCTTATTTCATTAACTTAATGAAGAGTGTTCGTGTAATTCAATCTTGTTCTCTAATTAACACTAAGGAAACTTGTTGCAAGGATAGATTAGACTGAAGCCTCAAATATTTGATTTGGTGTGTGGCTTGCGCGTGATAACTTCTTCCTTGGTTAATTACCACAGAAACTTTATATTTACGCCAAAGTTACTTTCTGTTTATCACACATATTCTTGTATATAAGTTCTAATATCTATTACAGTTAATAATTAAAATAGGACCAGCAACATATTATTATATACACTAACTGCTATCCGTGTCATCGTCTGTTTTTAAGTACAATCTAGCACCTATCCGTAATACGATCTATCTTCGTGTCTTTCATTAAGGTCAGTTTAGCCGCTTTGTCATGAAAAAGTAACAAATATATAAAATGACATATCGTACAATTTCAAATTGATAATATTAGGATGAAATGATTTTAATTGTACTTTCTGATTTGTTATAAAATAAGTTTTCGAACTTCTGCGAACAGCATTTTAGTTTCGACTGTGATTAGGTTTTTATTTTTTGAAATTAATTAAAAGTCGCCACTGTGCGCACCCCAGGGCCACGGAGATGAACGTGCTCAAAATACTTTCCAACTCCCCTTTTGTTCTATCTACTATTTTTGCCTGACTAGCCATTAAATTCGTTTTTACAACGTGCGATTTTAAAATTTCATTGAGTTAATTCATGTGTAACTCAAGTAAAAAATAATTAACTAGACTAACTAATTTTTCATATTTATATCTTTATGTGTCTTATGTTCTATTTAATATGACTGTTTATGTATTGTCTTATTATCTATAGTCTATTCACAATAGACTTACTATTGTGAATAGACTTATGTTCTGAATCGTTCCACCATACAATACTTTCCTATCATACCACCTGATATTTAATATAAATTTTTATATTACATAATACAATAAGATTGCTAGAATACACATTTATATGTAAAAGTGATATATTATGATATATAGACAACAGCTTTTTTTATATAATTATTGACATACAACGATTTCTTAATTACATATTATTCCAAAAGATTACATTACAATCTTTCATATCTTAACGAAATTCTTATGATACAAACACGTTAGTAAACCCTATAACACAATGTAGATATATTATGTAAACATCTTACGCAGAAGAGAAAAAAATAATATAGAACCTCTTTCTTTTTAGGGTTACATAGACATAGACTTCTGCAATCTGTATACATATTAAACAATATATCTTTTTATACTTTATTACATTTCAATTTTAATGTTATCTCAATTAGAAGCAGAAAACTATAAAGCATGACGTTTATGGTCTCATGATTTTAGATTACAAAGTTGCGCATTACTTGCTTTGGCCATATTTCTTGTGCTGAACTGCAAGAAAATATGAATTTAAAATCTATTTCTATATGCATTAAAAAATAAGAGTAAAATATCAATTCCATTTAAATGGGTATAAAATGATGAGTGCGATATTTTTGTCAATTGTAAATCGGCTTAAGTGATTGTTTTTAAAAGGTCTGATAGTCAGGTAATCCGTTGATATAAATTTTTGATCCATTACTGGACAATAAAATTGAATAAAAGAAAATACATGACTTATACAATATTTATTATCAATATATTTTATTTTACTTTACTATATTGCAAGCAGTGTCTGTTTGTACACAGCTTTTACATAAAATTAAGTATTTATTATATTATTAGAAGTGGTAACTAAACTAAACTAAGAAAGAAATAATGTTTTAATATTTAATAAATTCACATGGATATTAAAGATTACATATCTTAAGTAAGTATTAAGTAAGTAAGGTAAGTTTCTTTTACCTTTTATTTATATATATTGTTTTAAATGTATTATAAATACCCAATAAAACAGAGGTGTGAGCTCTGGTCTACACCAAATCCACAGATAACTAGCGTCCTGGAAAGTTCGGAGGAACCCCCTAGATGAACCCTTAGATTGAAGATTATCCGTCAGGCAGGAGTTGGCCTTCAGCTGCTCCATAAGTTCTTTCGCAGTTTTAGAGTTCGTTCAGTGAAACTGCAAAGGCTAAGTGCGGTCAACAGTCTTAGAAAAAAAATTACCTATGTAAAATTCTTTGAAATGCTCCGTAATAGCATAGCATAGCAGAGATACAGGCTTCGTACCCAGTTCAGTTTCCAGGCTCATACAATCACAAATTATTTATGAAATGATTTAAGACCTGTATATGATTGTGCCTTAATAAATTTATCTTTATTAATTAACAACAATACTTTTAAGATTATGACTCTCATTAATCATCGCAAAATGTTAATCAATCACGTTAAGCTTCCGTAATTTTAATAATATAGGTAGAAATATTGTATACATAAATTAAATAACATTTTAAAAAACGAAACAATCAATTTTAATTTCAACAACTGACTACAGACGGGATAATACAAGGTTTAATTACTTAAAACTCGGCCTATAAAAATACACACTTACTCCTGGTATTGAAATAAAAGCATTAAAATTCTTGTTTCAATTTTTAGAGAGGTTATGACAAAGAATTTATATTTTATGTGATGTAATAGTGTTAAAAATATACGACTCGAAACTATGAACATATGTATCATTTTAAGTGGGCATTTATCATTTATACTTCAATAATAGCATTTATTTATTTCAAGATGATAAACAGTATAGTCTGCCGATTAATATGTTATTTAATAATATTATCATGATAAAAATCTCGTTTATATAGGTAATGTGTAAAAAGTTGTCTTTGAATGAGAAAACTATTAATTTCATCGTGATTTGGACAACTCATTACCGTTCCATTACTAGAATAAGATGAAGTCCACCCTGGTTGCTTGACAAAGTTTCTTTTTTCGCATATCTCTCATATAAATATATTTATACTTTCTTCTCCAAGACAACATTTACAATTACTAATTACTATAAGGATAAAAGAGTGCCGAGAAATTGTATTCGTACTCTATAGCTATAATTAAACATATTTTAAAATTAACTAAATACTCACTATAAACTATTTTTCCCACAGCAATAACACTCCTTGTTCACCAAGGTGTGGAATACCTGCAATGAAGTATATTTCATTAGAGCTTTTATGTTACGCAATAGGATATTTTAAATATAATATTATGCCATACCCTTTATTAAAAATAGAAACAAATATATGAAACGGAAACCTTATAGTATAGTATGTGAGTTAATGTAAATTGAATTACAAAAAAACATTACATTTAGAAACTTAAAATTTTAGACAGTAGGTATGTAATAAGCTATGGAAATTCCCATGGGAAATTAAGATAATGGGATACACGCTTCCATTTTATTTACCACTAGCGACAGAGGTCCATTAGTCTAGATAATAGTTCCTTACTTTGCTTTCTGATAAACGCTATTATCTTCTATATTGAGATAGATTTTGACCAATTGAGGAAATCTTCGTAATTTTCTTACAATCACCAAATTTTATTAAATGTTTATTAATATTTTTTTAATATAATGTCTATATTTTATATTATTATAAATTCAAGACTAACTTGCTTCTAATTTTAGGATATGAGAATATATTGAATTTCAATTCTATTTTCGATTGTAAAGACAGATGACCCTTACGATAGAAAGAAGTAAACAAGGCCCAAAAATGTACAAAAAAAGACTATAAGCGTCTGTAACTATATATACTAACAGTTTTTTAAATTAGATATTCAGGTATCTACAATATAATTAAACCGCTGCCAAATCACATTACATTTTCTTGGCAAACGTAGCCACTTCCTTTTCATTAATTCCTACTGCACTACACAGATTGCGCCGAATCTATGTAAAAATTCTACTCATCCTTTTATATAAAACATTTTTTTAGAATGTAACAATATATGTACACGATTTAAAACCCAAACGGTCAGATTTATTTACTAAAATGATACATCTATATAATTTATGTATTAAAATTTCTAAGTGCAGAGATAGGTAGTGAAAATGTCAATTCAAATTTAATTAATGCGTGTCCAAGTGTGTATAAATGTATACAGTATTGAATTCTAAGTAAAATGTAATGGTTTTTCAATTCAATGTATGCACGAGTCTAATTATAATAAGGTAAATAGGCACAGTATTGGATACGTACGTCAGTTAGGCAAGGGAAATATTTATTTCCAAAATACCTATAGAAAAAAACTATTCTGCACAACACGTACGTATATGTGCAAACATTTATAATGTAGCGTATAACGTATAAAGGGTGCAAGGGTACAAAACATATTGGATTTTCGATTCACAGCTGTCAAACGCAGACATGCCGCCCGATCATTTATTATTACATTGTCTAAACATAACTGGCTACTTATTACGTTGCAACATTGAATTAATCTATGATGTGTATGTTTACAGATCACACAAAATGGGGAATACGAATGCAACGAACTGGGAATTGCCGCATTCAAAATCGAATTCGCGAATGATAATACATTTATTTCAAATTAGACTACAGGGAGTTTTCATTGCACATCCATCAGTACAAAAATATATACAATCTGTTTGAAAATATTTCAATTCGGAATACAATGTAATAGAATTATGTGATAAAATATTACTTTTTACTCGCGGGGATTGCGTTGTTTATCAAATTTGTCTAAATATAGGTACAACATAACCATCCCTGTCATGTTGTACATCTATATTTATTTAAAAAGTTATATTATTATTAAATACAACCATAATACACTGTCAATATCCAACATGAAACTTAGTTCTGAGTATCACACTAACGCTTTTACAATTTTCTAGTGAAATAAAAAACAAACCTAGGAATTACACATACTAAGTGAGCAAATTGTTAATTTAAGAAAAGCGCCACAGTTCTAGAGCCACAAACGCTCTGCACGAGATGAGGTGATTATGCTAAATATTTCTCATTAAGTTAACAACTTCGACGGAGACATCTTTGCAATGTGTTTGTAATGGATTATTACTTAAATGCGCATTAAAATAAACAATGAAGCTTCGCGTTAATATTAAAATTGTAACTACGTATATATTTCCATATTATAATAAATAAATAATAATAATATTATAGAATAAACGTTATCAATTATATTTCACATAGAAGAAATAAATTAATTATGTTATACGTATTTTCTGTGACGCTTCGAAATTTAGGTTACTTAATCTAGTCTCAAACTAAGTAGAGCTTGTGCTATGAGAACTAGACAACGTATGGAGAACTATTATTAACTAGTAATTAAGTACAAAGAGCAGGTGTTCGGAAATGCAAGTAATGATCTCATGCATCCATTACCAGTAAAACATGGGGTCGCAGTTGAATGTTTTAATTCCGCTAAAAGCTTCCATCTCATTGTGGTGGGACTGATGATTTGGATTACCTGCCGCCCGGGTAACGTCCGCGACACGCACGGCTGCCGACGGCCGGCTGCGACCTGGATAACCCGAATTTCGGAATTGTACCTACCGGGTGAAATTTTAAGAGACATCTCCTATATAAAGGTACTTTATTTTTATTCCCTTGAGATGTAAGATGTACAGGTTGTAAATCTACTAGCAGGCTTTGGTTTAGAATTAGCATATTTGTAACGTTATATTTAAATAAATATTTTTGCTTAATTTCTCTATATTTGGACGGCGATCGTAATGCCTTTGTCAATTTATTCGAATGAAATTTATCGAATCAATCTACAGAGAACAACATTATCGTTAGTGAAATTAATTATATTGTTATATTAGTCTTACAATTGGTTTTCTATTTTCAAAAATATATAGTCTTCTGAACATACAAAATAAAAAACTAAATAGATTGTCTGCAAAGTGTTTATTTAAGATTTGTATTGGATAAAGTTAAAGAAATTATACTATACTTCATAAATTTGATTACATAAATATAATGTAATTAAAATAATTGTATCTGTATCTTGAAATAGTTTAGCCACTACACTACATACAGTACATAATTATTCCTGTTTTATTTTTCACTACCTTACATCTAACTATAATAGAATTATTCTTATAAATGATTTCGCATAGGTAATGTCTGTGTAAACCTCTCACTTTATCGACCGCTATTTCTATAAAAATACAGTTTCACATTAACGTAAAAGTAAAGGAAACAAAGTTTCTAAATCAAATATACCTATATCAAAACTGACACTCTCGTAGTGTTCTGAACCTCTGAACTTACAATAACAAATGCTGAACATGTCACCATAGTTTTTGAATGTTACTAATACCCTTATCATAAATCTATTCTTCATAGAGGTTTTACATGTACATTTCGGAAGTTATTCAACCGTGCGACAGAGTACGTAATACTCAGTTGTACCAATTGATGAAGGTTTTTTATGAGGTGTATAGTTAAATCCACTTTAACGTGTTTTTGTGTTTCTTACCCTTGAAATTAGGTACTTCATTTATAATTAATATATATTCATTATTTACACACTAAAATTAGTTATACGAAAATTTGTAGGTGAAAAATATTTTTAATGTAATTGGAATGTCGCATACAAGCTGACGGCTTACCTGAAAGTAAGTGGTTGCAATTGACTATATATATATATATACATGAACAACACTATAGCATTACCTTATCAAGTGACGCCTGTGATATCAGTTTTTGCATTCCAGAGAAGTAAGATGTCATTATTCTTGTTATCCTGTGAAATTTAACAGCTTTACCATACCATTCAACTGAAAATCCTTGTATGAAGATGAGCCAGTATGTCAATATTATCTTTTCTTATTTCTAATTAATATCATAACTACCGTTATATTGTATATTGTTGTATTTATATGTGACCACATATAAATACAATACCTGTATGTATTACATACGTGTATACACATGAAAACAATGTTATTACAGTTATCGAGTCATTGTTATTGACAGAGTAACGGATTCATGTTCAAAGTGCTAAAATTTACAGCAGTAAAACTTGATGTAACCATACTTCAATAGATATAATAGTGGTATACAAGACTGTTCATTTTATGACTTTGCAAAGTTGTGCCACTAATCCAAAATCACAAAGCTTTAATGATGACCGAGAAACTTAGGGTGACGAAACCATTTATAGAGTATCCAATTGTTAATGATATGTATGATGTAATTCACTACAATATTTTATTATATCTAGAAGTTTAGAGAAGCTAATCTAATTTTAAAAATAACTTAATACCAATTATAGTCAGACATTAAGCTCGCAGGAATATTGAAATTTTATATGCAGAAATAAAAACAAAACAATCTACGGTATATAAATTTTTAAAAAATAAATGTAAAATGATAACCAGTTTATTTGAGTAGTATGTAAATCAGTTTATGTAAAGAATATTCATGATATAATTTCAATGTATATGAATAAATAAGAATGAAAAGATGTCCATAAAACAAAAAAAAACAATAGTAAAATAAATAATAAAAATCCTTATTTGACATATTACAAAATTAGGCACTATGATTTACGGGTGCCTTTATTTAAATAATAATTACTTCAGAGTTTTTATATAGCACAATTCTTTAATTAATTATTCAATTAATTCACAAGCAATTTCAATTTGCTACAATGAGAAACGTTTCAAGTCGTTCATTTTAATAACAGGTGGTCGTATAACAATCACCCAAATGCCTGCTTGATGTCATCACATTTATATAATTGATATTTAAGTTGTCTTACTAAGTTTCAATTTCAATCAAACTTTAGAATAGGCCTATATTACTTCGCTTATTAAATTGTGGTTTATTCCTGTCATAAATACTTCGGAACTAACTATTGCCTATATATTTATAGAAGTTGCTATATATTGTGATGTTTTATGTGATGTGCGTGGTAACCAAGCTATCTCTGATAAGTAACCGTCGCATATATACTTGAACACAAAATGTTCTCCCTTCTGTCATAGAATATATAACATCACTACAGACATCGGATTATCATGTGTGGCCCGTGATATTAGCCATGATATTAGCCATCTCTGGAATGTCAATCATTCCAGAGGACTAAGACATAATGTCTCTTATCCTCTAATTTCACTACCTAATCTCACCCTATAACCGA